AAATTGCTTTCACCCCCACTTACAAGAAAAATACTCTCCGAATTTTCATTCTCACAATAAAAATCCCTGCAGAGTTTTACGTTCCTGAGTATATTGCCATCCCTATTTATGAGCAAGAAGAAACAAACAAAATCACGAAATCAGATGAACTAAGCCAGAAGGTAATTAGGATACCGTGTGTTGATTATTTGTTACGGTATAATAAAGTCAAACCGTGTGTGGATTATTTGTGGGGCCTATATTATTTAAAGCAAACCGCATCTTGGTGGAATCAACGGGTATATTATATCCTATATTCTGTTCTTGCAATGACCATCGTAATCCTACTGAAGAAAAACATATCAATATCACTAACAATATTAGAAAGTAGCAAGAGAAGTAATTATTTTACAAAAAAAAAAGAAAAGAAAAAAGAGCAAGAGATGATACTAGAGAATTTGATTTCCAAGAAGTAAGAATTTTGTTATATTTTCAAATAAAATGTTTGTCTAATGTTTTATCGTAATTTCATTGGACAAATTCTTTTCATTTCTTTATTTTTCTCAAATAAAACACAGTAAGTTATACTTTTACCTAATTTATTTGTTAAATTTTGAAATCGAAAGGGTTATGGACAAAATAATTTTTTATAATTTTTGTTTCAAATTTTGACTTCTTAGTATGAGTGTAATAATTTTTGAAAAACATTTTTAAATATGGACCTCAAATATTGGTCTAATATTTTAATTTGATTGAATAAATTTTTCTTTTATTTTTTTTTTCATTTTTTTCAAATCATCCAATACAACAGGCTCTAATTCTAACTAACTTATTGGCTGCACAAGCTACTCAAAACTCTTTATAAATTAATTAACTAGTATTGGTTTTAAAAATTTATTCTTAATAAGTTGATTTTTTTAAATTTTAGTTTTTAATTATTAATTTTGATTATTTAAATTTTAATATTAAAAATCAAAAATAAAAAATTACAATCATTTTTTTGATATGGTCAAATGATGGACATTATATATAAGAGAAAATTTTCTCTTTTCCAAATCTCTCTTCACCTATTTTAAGATTTAAATTTAAAATTTTAAACTTAAAAACTCAAAATTTTAACCATTAAGACATCTTTTATGAAACCAAAAACAATTGCAATCATACTAGCTAAAGAGAGCCTTCCTTTCGAGGGTCAATACTATCTTGAGATTTTAAGTTTGATTTTTATCATGTGTAGAGTTAATTTAACCTTATATTGGTATTTACTTTTATTTAATATAATACTTGATTTACATTGACAGTGTCTAATGCGGTAGTGATATGTGATGTAACTCTTTTTTTAGTATCACATTCAAACCAGTCATTTTACATACCATGCCAACCTAAATGCTCACTCTCAGAACTTCATCCATCTCCTTCTACCATCCACTGCCTCTCTCTTTTCCCATCCTCTTCTTGTGTTACTCTTCCATCCTTGTAGTTATTTTCCAGAAAAAATAGATTTCCAATCACGCTTCCAGCTTTGAGCATTAAAGCAAAGGTATGCTTCTTAATTAATCCACAGCTATAGATGGCTAAATTATTTTTACTCATATTTAATTTTACCATATGTTTTCTTTGGCTTTTTGCAATCTTTTGATGGATATATCTCTTCATATCATTATTTCTATGAAATGTTTGTTC